CTACATCTTAGGTTCAGATACTTACCTCTATGTTTTTAATCATATGCAATCTCTTGATATACCAGTTTTTTTTAACTTTTTATTTTGAAGTAATTTTAAATTAATGAAAAGCTACAAGATAGTATAGAGAGTTCCTGAATACCCTACTCAGCTTCCTTTAATGTTAACTTCTTAAACGATCACGGTCCATTTGTCAAAACTAAGAGATTAACGTTGGTGCATTACTGCAGTCAGGCATCACTTAACAAGGCTACATACTGAGAAATGCGTCGTTAGGCGATGTCGTCATTGTGCGAACATCATACAGTGCACTTACACAAACCTAGATGGTATAGCCTACTACACACCTGGGCTATATGGTACTAATCTTATGGGACCACCATCATATATGCGGTCTGTTGTTGACTGAAATGTTGACGGGCGCATGACTGTGTTAACTGAATTACAGACTTTATTTGGAGTTCACTGGTTTTTCCACTACTGTTCCAGAATCCAGTCTGGGACCCCACATTGTACGAGTCATTGTGTCGCCACAGTTTCCTCTAGTCCGTGGTAGTTTCTAAGTCTTTCCTTTGATTTATCAATTTTAAGCACTTTCTCCGGACTAGTATGAGATAAGAATGTTTTTGATCAATTACACACTCCATTTTCCCTTTCCTCATCTTCCCCATATATTTTTCTTACTTTTTGCTGTAATCCATATGCATCACTTTTGTTATTTTTATGTAAATATTGTTACCTGTTGAATTGATTAGTGTACCATAATTACACTTCCTCTCATACATAATTTTTTGTTTGTCTTGGAGTTATTTTATTATTTGTTTTATTTTCTTTGAAATTGACTAAATCTCACATTCTCCAATAGTTCAGTAAAAGGAGTTATTTTATTATTTGTTTTATTTTCTTTGAAATTGACTAAATCTCACATTCTCCAATAATTCAGTAAAAGGCTTTCAATTCAATTTTATACATGGTGGATCATGTCAAATAATTTATCAATTTAATTTTTTTCTTGGAATTCCCCGTTCTGCCAGATCCACTCCAGTCTGCACAGGGGCTGCACAGCTATTATCCTTCAACTCCTCTTTGTCATCATTTTGGGGATTTTTTTCTTATCTCTTCTTTGTCATAGTCCCTGTTTTCTGTATTCACAGATATTTTATTTCTTTGTTTATGTTCTCCTTTTGTTGGAGCATATCCTCTAGTAATTTTCAGAGAAAGAATTTTGGGGAAGTAATATTTGAGACTTTGTATGATTTAAATTGCCCTTTTTCTATCCTTACACTTAATTTATCAGTATCTACTTCCAGGCATTTTTATCATTGATGCAGAGAAGTTCGGGGTCATTCTAGTTCTTGATCCTATTTTTGTCTCTCTGGAAGATTTTAGAATCCTCTCTGTCCCTGGGTTCTGAAATGTCAGGTCCAGTTTATGTAATCCCTGGAGCTAGAGTTTGGAAACTGACCCAGCAGGTTCCATTAGTATGTTCCCTTAATTTCAGGATGGGCACATGACCCAATCATCTAATGAGACTCAATTCTCAGACTTTGGTTGAACTGATGGGGACAGAATCTCTCTCTCCCTGATTTGTACCTGGAAGGGACAAGCCCAGAGCTACTTAGGATCTCTATGAAAAGAAGGTCTTCCTAAGACAGAAGCTCTTTTAGTTAGCTATTTCTGTGTAACATATTACCCAAAACTTAGTGGCTTAAAACAACAAATATCTATCATCTAGGGGGAGTTTAGCTGAGTGCTGCTTCTTAAGATTTCTCAAAAGGCTGCAATCAGCGTGTTGTTTGGGGTTGCGGTCTCATCTGATGGCTCAGCGGGAGGAGCTGCTTCCACGTTCACTTACGTGGTTGTTAGCAGGATTGTTTCTGGTTGGACTGTGGGCTGCAGTCCCTCACTGGCTGTTGGCCAAGGCCTCCTTAAGTTCCTTGCCGTGTGGGCTTTTCTTTAGAGCAGCACACAACATGGCAACTGGCTTCCATCAGAACGAGCAAGTGAGAGAACAAGCAAAACAGAAGCCAGACTCTTTTTGTCACTTACTCTGAGAAATGACCTCCCATCACTTTGCCATATTCTGGTCATTAGAAGTAAGTCACAAGGTCACGCTTACCTTCAAGGGTGTCGGGGGGGGGGGGAATTACAAAAGAGTATGAATACGAGGAGGTGGGAGACATTGGGAGCCGTTTTAGAGGCTGCCTATCACAGAAGCCAACGCTGAGGAAACAGAGCTGAGAGATAGGACATGATCAAGTCCCAGTGACTTCATTTCAGCCCATGAATCTAGCTGGACCTAAACTTGCACCACCCCTGAGTGTTTCAATTAGGCCAGCCTCTGAATTCCTTTATGTGTTTGCATTAGTCTGCTAGAGCCGCCATAACAAAATACCGCAGACTGGGTGGCTTAAACAGCAGGAATTTGTTTTCTCAATTCTGGAGGCTACCAGTCCAAACTCAAGGTGCCAGCAGGGTTGGTTTTTGGTAAGTCCTCTCCTCTAGGTAGATGGCTGCCTTCTATGTCCTCACATGGCATCTTCTCTGTGCTTTCAGAGACAGAGATCGATCTCTGGTGTCTCTTTCTCTTATGTAAGGGCACCAGTCCTGTTGGATTAGGGCCCCACTCTTATTCCCCTCATTTAACTTTAATTACTTCCCTAAAGACCTTCTCTCTCAATAAAGTCACATTGGGTGTTAGGGCTTCAATATATGAATTGGGAGAGGCGGGACATAAAATTCTGAAAGTGCTAAAGTGGCTGCCCAAACACTAGAGAGAGCAATTCATCCTCATTTGCCCAGGACTTTCCTAGTGTTAGCACTGAAAGCTCTGTCCTGGGAAACACCTCCATCCCAGGCAAAGCGGGACAATAGTCACCCTACATAGCAGTCCTTTGATGACCAAAATTAAACCAACGAAACACCAAAGCAACTTGCTCAGGATTCTATGGAATGGTACTACAGAAAACATATGGACTCTGGAGTTAAATTGTAGGTTTAAATCCTGGCTCTACCACTTACTGGCTGTATGGCTCTCGGCAACTCACCTCACATGTTTTCTCACCATTATAAAATAGGCGTTGGAATAGCTACCTTGAAAAGTTCCCACATGGATGGAGAGAATGTATCTAAAAACATGGTTGTCTCAACAAATGATAGTTGTTATCATTATAAGCAATTTGGGGAACTCGGCCAACTGTGATTTTTTTTTCAGACAAGACACAAAGGATTTCCCAGATCCCAGATCCCAGCTTGATATTTAGATACTGCAGCTATGTGCCAGGGTCTGTGGAGGTCTGTCTGATTTCCCTGGGACGAGCTGCTAAGAAAATTAATGCTTAGGTTTTCATAGAGTCCTTCAACACGTTTGATAACTTGAAGAGCCAATCAAAACCATTTCTAAAATGGCATTTAAAGACCCCTTGGTTTAAATGTGACCTCCCTACACTGTCTTGGCACTTTCTTTTAAACATTTAGACCAGTGACAGATGAAACTGTTGCTGAAGGTGAGATGTGGACCCTGGGCTGAGGAGTTGACCTTGGTCAGTACTTCGAGGGGGCACTTGCTCATTCCCTGAGAGATTATTTGGTTTCTAGCAAACAACCACCCCCTTCAGTCACTATATTATTCAGAACTCTTCTGATTGCAAATTACAGAGCCATGTCCCAAATGAGCTTTGGCAAAAAGAGGCTTTATTGGCTCAAAGAATGGCCAATAAGCCTTGGAAAGGAACATCAGAATCAGGGATCTGTAATCTACCATAACTCTCTGGGTATCTTGTCTCTGTCCACCTATCTCACCGTTGCTCATAGACTAGCTTTTCCACAAGGCTGGAAATATGGCAGCCCATAGCTATTGACTCCCACATCCTCCCACCTTCCACAACTAGAAGACTGCCAACGATTCTCACTGGTCCCAAGTTTAAAATCCCAGGAAATGGGCTCTCATTGGCTTACCTAGGGTCAGGTGGCCATCCTTAGACCAATCACTAATGACCAGTGGTATAGGGCAGTTAGAAAATATGGTGGCTCTGAGAACCATCTGGTTGGGGTAGGGAAAGAAGCAATTCCCAGCAGAGGTGCTAGGAAAACACAAGGTATCATTACACAAGGTCCTAAACTTGGAAACTGCACAAGAATTTTACAGTTAAAAAACCCCAACATAAATCCACAAGAGCACCACAGCTTTCAAAATCGTGTCTGGAAAAGTATACTGGAGTCCAATTAAGTGACTTGATAAATTATTCCCAATAGTGATGACTGTCGTCTTCACTACAGGTGAATTAGCTACATATGGCCCTCATTCGGAAGGCTCATCCCTCCTTACAAAAGAGGACATACGCAGAGCTCTATAAATAAGACTGTTCAATGTCCTTAGGACTGCACCTGTTCCCAGACTTCAGTGTGCATTAGAATCAAGTGGGAGTTGGTGAAGCATGCACTTTCCCAGGCCTATTCCTCAGATTCCCATTCAATGGTCCAGGGTGGAATCAAAGTGTCTGCATTTTTACAGATTTTATTTTTTTCCTTTTTCTCCCCAAAGCCCCCTGGTACATAGTTGCATATTTTTAGTTGTGGGTCCTTCTAGTTGTGGCATGTGGGATGCTGCCTCAGCATGGCCTGATGAGCAGTGCCATGTCCATGCCCAGGATCCGAACCAGCGAAACCCTGGGCCGCCGAAGCAGAGCGCGCGAACCCAACCACTCGACCAGGGCGCCCGCCCCCGAGTCTGCATTTTTATAAGGCTCCCAGATGATACTGATGTAGGTGGTCGATGGACCACACTGAGAAACCATGCACCCGGCCCGTCTAAAGGACATTCAAAATAAAGCACCTAGCATATTGCCCGGCACAGTTTGCCCAGGAAATAGCCCGAGAGGCCATGTAACTGTCCCAGACCTGCACAAGACCTCTGATGCTCGCTCTGTCCTGTGACATCTAGACCTCCCCTGGCCCTGTCCCCCAGCCCGCCCAGGGAAAGAGAATAAATAACAGCAGCATTTTCATTTTATAAGCACTTGGTTTTATTGCACAGAAGCAATTGAAAGTGGACTCCAGTGGAAAAGTGCGCCCTGGCATGATTCAGTGGCCATGCCCAGCCCCACCTGCTCCAGCTCTTCCAGGATAGAGAGCTCTGGGCTAGGGTTCGACCACTCCTTTGGAAAACAGAAGGCATTTAGGAATAGGTTAAGACATCTCAAGCATAAGGTGTTTCTAACTGCTCATTCATTATTGCGGTCACCTGTCAGTTGCACATACAGGAAATAAATGCACTTATTTGGAAAGGAGGGGGGCAGTTTTTATAGTCAAGTGTTTACATGTGGCATTCGGCATATATCACATTCAGCTACGTAAGCTATCATAACATAATTGTCCATCGCCTGGGGAGAGTTTGGGTGTGGGGCCGGGGATTAGGAATGCCCTCTTGCTAACATATTGCTAACAAAAATTCCTGTTTGGTGAGCGAGGGCCCTGTTGTCTAAGTACAGTTTCTTCTTACATAAAGAAAAGGGAAAAAACATGAAAATTTGTTATACCGACCCTTGAGCTCCCAGACCCTCCTGAGTTTCTTTGGCTGCTCTGGATGTTTCTTTCTCCCTGCCTCACTTCTCCCCCTTGGTGGCCTTGTCTTCTGGAGGCCTGCTGTCTTTCTGGTCTGTGCTAGAGGATTTCTCGGCCTTTTCCGTCTTGGCCTGGGCCTCCGTTTTGGGCTTCTCCTCAGGCTTCTTGGCCTCTGTGGCCTTCTCCTCCTTGGCGTCTTTTTTCTCGGGTGCTGCTGATGTCTCTTCCTTCTTTGGCTTTTCAGGCTCCTTCTTGGCCACCTCAGTCTTCTCTTTGGGTTTGGCCTCTTCCTTCACCTTGGCAGCAGCCTCCTTCTCTGGGGTCACTGCTTTTTTATCTTCAGCCTCTTCCTTCTTGGCTTCAGCTTTGGATTCTTTGGGCTTCTCCACAGCAGGTTCCTTCTTCTCCTGGACCTCGGGCTTTGGAGCCTCCTTCTTGGGCACCTCATCTTTCTTGCTGTCCTTCTTCTCCTCAGTTTTTGGTGTGGCTGGAGCTTTCTCTTCCTCCTTCTTGGGGGACTTGGCCTCTTCCTTCTTTGGGACCTCCTTCTCTGGAGCCTTGGCCTCCTCCTTCACAGGAGATTTGACCTTCTCTGGGGACTTGATCTCCTCCTTGACAGGGCTTTTGGCCTTCTCAGGGGACTTTGCTTCCTCCTTCACTGGAGACTTGGCCTTCTCGGGGGACTTGGCCTTCTCAGGGGACTTGGCCTCCTCCTTCTCAGGGGACTTGGCCTTCTCAGGGGACTTGGCCTCCTCCTTCACTGGAGACTTGGCCTTCTCAGGGGACTTGGCCTCCTCCTTCACCGGAGACTTGGCCTTCTCGGGGGACTTGGCCTCCTCCTTCACCGGAGACTTGGCCTTCTCGGGGGACTTGGCCTCCTCCTTCACTGGGGACTTGGCCTTCTCGGGGGACTTGGCTTTCTCGGGGGACTTGGCCTCCTCCTTCACTGGAGACTTGGCCTTCTCAGGGGACTTGGCCTTCTCGGGGGACTTGGCCTCCTCCTTCACTGGAGACTTGGCCTTCTCAGGGGACTTGGCCTTCTCGGGGGACTTGGCCTCCTCCTTCACTGGAGACTTGGCCTTCTCAGGGGACTTGGCCTTCTCGGGGGACTTGGCCTCCTCCTTCTCAGGGGACTTGGCCTTCTCCTTTTCAGGGGACTTGGCCTTCTCAGGGGACTTGGCCTCCTCCTTCACTGGAGACTTGGCTTTCTCAGGGGACTTGGCCTTCTCGGGGGACTTGGCCTCCTCCTTCTCAGGGGACTTGGCCTTCTCAGGGGACTTGGCCTCCTCCTTCACTGGAGACTTGGCTTTCTCAGGGGACTTGGCCTTCTCGGGGGACTTGGCCTCCTCCTTCACTGGGGACTTGGCCTTCTCGGGAGACTTGGCCTCCTCCTTCACTGGAGACTTGGCCTTCTCGGGGGACTTGGCCTCCTCCTTCACTGGGGACTTGGCCTTCTCGGGGGACTTGGCCTTCTCAGGGGACTTGGCCTCCTCCTTCTCAGGGGACTTGGCCTTCTCAGGGGACTTGGCCTCCTCCTTCTCAGGGGACTTGGCCTTCTCAGGGGACTTGGCCTTCTCCTTCTCAGGGGACTTGGCCTTCTCAGGGGACTTGGCCTTCTCGGGGGACTTGGCCTCCTCCTTCACTGGAGACTTGGCCTTCTCAGGGGACTTCACTTCTGCTGGGGACTTGGCCTTCTCTGGAGATTTCACCTCGGCTGGAGACTTGGCCTCCTCCTTCACTGGGGACTTGGCCTTCTCTGGGGACTTGGCCTCTTCCTTCTCTGGGGACGCAGCCTCTCCTGCTGGGGGAGACTTTGCTTCCTCTTCTTCCTCTTTGGCCTCTTTCTCCTCTTCTTCAGTCACTTCTTCAGTCACTTGGATCTCCTCTGTCTGTTCCTCCAGTATCACAGTTTCCTTCTCTGACTTTTCTACTACCTTGATCTTCTCTTCACTTTTGACCTTGATGTGAGTGGATATGGGGGGGATTTTGGGGAGTACTTCTGGAAGGGGGAAAGGACTCGGGCCAAAGCCAATGCGACACTCTTCGCCCTCCAGGAGTTTTCTGCAGAATGGATAATGGAACATGTTACTGTTAACTCAAAGCAGGTTGATGAGTGGGGGGTCTTGTGGAGTTACTTTGAAGGTCCACAGCCTCCAAAGATATGGACTCTGACAGAAGAAGGAATGTGAATGGTGGGCACTTGGAGACTAGAGAAAATCACTTAGTAAATCATCCCAGGAACCACCCAGAATCTGCACTGCAATGTCATCGCTCTTTAATGCAGCTAAGGCTGCAACTTATGAAATAAAACTTTTTTTCCCCTGAAAAACGGTCCTCAAGAGAGAGCGCCTACATTAACAAAAATTACATTTATTGTCCCTCAACTAAAATGCTATTTAAGAGAAAGGTGGGAGCTGAAGCAAACAATTCCACATTTATAAATTTGGGTTTAAGAGGCCTTACAATGTTCCCATTTGAATTTCAAAGGTCTCTTGTCACCTTAGATGCTCATCCTTTGAGTTTTAGGAGTAGGGTGACAGTAGCAGTTTCTACTCTCTGCTACTCACTAGATGTGTGACCTTAGTCAAGCCACTCAAACTCTTTAAGCCTCAGTTTCCTCAGTGGTAAAAAAAAAAAAACAAAGGATCATAAGAATCCCTACATCAGAGGGTTGTTTCACTGAGATAATGAATAAAAAGGACCTGGTAGTTCCTGCCTCAGAGTAAGTGTAGGGGTGATCCCTACACACCAGTGCTTTGAAAGTTTAATGGCATACAAAACACCCAGGGATCTGGTTAAAATGCAGATTCTGAGTCAGTAGGTCTGGGGTGCAGCTTGAGAATCTGCCTTTCTAAAAGCTTGTGGATGATGCTAATTGTGCTGGTTTGTGGACCATGATTTGAGTAGCAAGATTACAGACCATAGCCAAGAGGTGGGAAGTGAAGGTCACCAGCCAGCAGTGGGACAGGTCCTCAAGGGGTTAGCCCTGCTCCTTAGCAGCATACTGCTAAGCTGGGAGGTCTCACGGCTTTCTCATGCCTGCTATTTATGGAGGGCTTTCTCTGTGGTACCCCAGTGGTACCTGCATCATCTGGCTTAGCTCGTGAACAGGATTAGCTCCTCTTCCCAACAACCCCATGACGTGGGTACTGTTATCACCCCCGTTCTATTTCCCCAGGAAACAAATGCTCAGAGAGCTAAGAAACTCTAAGAGAGAGAGAACTGCAAGGGCCCCTGACAACTCAAGTACCTCCTTTCCCTCCAAAGCAGGCAGTAGAAGGTGGCTGCCAGGCCTGGGGAAATGGGGGAGAGGAGAGAGGGAAGTCACTGTTTAATGAGCAGAGTCTCAGTTTGGGAAGATGAAAAAAGTCTTAGAGATGGATGGTGGCAATGGTTGCACAACAATGCAAATATACTTAATGCCACTGAACCGTATACTTAAAAATGGTTAAATGGTAAATTTTATGTTATACACATTTTACCACAATAAAAATTTTTTTTCTCTGTCTCTAAGACGGCAAAGAGGCTCCACTAGGGGCTTGAAACCCAAGGCTCAGCTCCTCATAAGAAGGAGGGCTCCTAAAGGCTCCCCACCACCCCGAAGGCCCTCTGGCCCACCTCACCTATAAGCGGCAATCTCAATATCCAGGGCCATCTTGACATTAAGCAGGTCCTGGTACTCTCGGAGCTGGGCTGCCATCTCCCACTTGGTGTTCCTGAGCTCAGCGTCCAGCTGCTGGATGGCTTCCTGGGGAAGGGAGGTCATACACACGTCATGTGCCAGCCAGCATCTGACCCTCAGCATCAGAGAAGCTGAGGGGGGTGCTGTGCAACCCCAAAGCAGTCCTGTCCAACCAGGCTCTCTGGGGCCAATACCCGCCCTGTCAAAGCTGCGGGGGCTTCGCTCATGGACATGGAAACCATGTGGAGCAAAAATCCTGCTGTGTATATAACCTTAGCCTGGGGAAGGGTCTGCAATGAAACACACCAGATCCCAAGAATGGTTATCACTGGTGAGTGGGATGATGGGTGAATTTTTACAGATCTTATAAGCTAAGAAAATGCTCAGTGGGAACAGAGCCTTGTCTGCTTTGGTTCCCTATTGTTTCCGCAATGCTCCAAAGTGCCTGCCACATAGGAAGGGCTCAAGAAGCACCTCTTGGTGATGACTGAAACTGATACACAGATGCACGGTAAATACGGGCTGAAGCTTCTCCCCTGTCCTCATGCCCACTCAGTCGCTGCTTAAAGGGAAACATTATGGCTGATTTTTATTGCCTCCTTTTTGCTTTATCCATTTTCTAATTTTTGTCCAATCACTACAAATTACTTGCATAATAAGCTCTTTAAAACTGATATTTTGTTTCGCCAGTTGTCTTTAATGCGGAGAATTTGCCAAGGCCTTCCCCAGGCTACCCACACTCGCAGACACTGGTTACTGTCTACCGAATGCCCACTGTGATCAAGACCCTGCTGAGCATGTTCATACTCATCTCATGAAAAGTTTGTCTATCTCTTTAACCTTCACAGCTCTGCACAGCAGGCAGTCTTTTTCTTTTTCTTTTTTTCCCCATTGCATTGAAGGGATTCAGATTCAGAGAGGAGGTAATTTTCCTGGGGTCATACAGCTAGAAAGGCATGCTGGTACCCCTGGTATGTCTGACTCCAAGGCCCATGGTCTTAACCATTGCAACCCTGCTCAGAGAGGGGCAGTGTCTTGTCCAGGGTCACCCAAATAGGTGAGGCAATCTGGCTCTCTGCCTCAGCCCTGCCCACCTGGTAGGATGCGATGTCGGCCTGATGACGGTCCTCCAGCTCAGAGCGCTGCCTCTCCAGCGAGTCCTTGGTGCCTTTGAGTGCCTCCAGCTCTGTGGTCCTGGCCTGCAGCTGGCGCCGGTACTCAGTTATCTCCTCCTGTGCTGTGCGCATGGCGTCTGTGTTCACCTTGGCTGCCTCTGATAGTCGGTCCAGCCTCACTGGGGGAGAAGGAGGCACGGCACAGGGTTAGACACACTTAGATTTGAGTTCTAGTGCATCTAGTGATACACATGGATTAAGGACCTACTGGGTGCTGGGTACCATCTTGGATGGTTAACTCATCCTATCCTTTGTGATAGACAAATGACTACTGCCCAAGGCCACTCAGCCAGTGAGCAGCAGAGCTGAGATTCAAATCTAGTGTCTATCTGGCTCCAAAGATCAGACTCTGTCTCTCCCAACTCAGGATGCAGAAACCTTGCAGGGCAGAGGAAATCCCCATTTCTGGTCTTAATGCCTGGTTCGGCTCCCCAGCAAGGGCTGGCAGTGCTGGGGGTTCAGATGTGAAACCTGGCCCACAGAGCTTAACTCTGAGCTTTGGCTGAACAAGTTAATGAACTGGTGACCTGTGGAGGCATGAAGGCATCGTGAGCCACCATGTAGCCACAGCCCCTTCCTTGCAGGTTTCTGCTGTGCAGAGCCCAAGGTCACTGCAGAGCCTGGGGCCTGTGTGCCAGCTCCTGTGTCCCTCCCTCCACTTGGCTGCGCATTCACTAGCACGAGAGCCCCTGCGCCAACGGCAGCCACACCCTGGCCCCTGTGAGCAAGGAGCTGCTGGTTCCCAGAAGACCTTCTGGGGCCAGTGGAGGTCTGGAGACTAGGCTCCATCTCCTGAAAGTGAACATCCTGAATCCCAAGATAGTGATTCCCAGGGCCTGAGTCTTGGGAGTGGGAGAAGAAGGCAAGCCAGCTGGGTGGGCCAGAAGTCCTGGGATGGTCTGCCTGTGTGAAGGGCAAAGCTCGAGAGAGCAGAGAGCCTTGTTGCAGAGCTGGGAGAGGGATGGCTCTGCCACTGCAGGGGAGAGGAAAATGAACAGGAAAAGCCGTGAATCCAAATCCCAGTTTTCCTGGCTTTCCCTGCTAGTGCCCGCAAAGATTTAGAAACCATCCAGGTGGGTGAGGATTCTTAGCCACTGTGGATCACAGACCCTTTGAAAATCGTTGAAGCCTCTGCACCCTCTCCCAAGAACAATGCAAGAGTTTTATACACAGCTTCGGGAAGGATCATGGAGCTCCCCAGAGTCAGCAGCCCAGGTGGTCGACCCCCACACCTTCAACCCAAAAAGAAATGAAAACCAGAGAGGGCAAGTGTTGGTCAAGGTCACCCTGCAGCGGCTGGGCCCAGCTTCAGAGCTGCTGCAGCTGCAATCTAGCTGACTCAGGGTGGCAGGGAGTTGGGGGAGGGGGGCGAACTTGGGAGGCTCCCAGGTTCTCTGAAGGGGAGAGGGGACATTCAAGGGCAGCCTCAGGCACCAACTGGTTGTGGTGATGGTCCCCCGCCCCGGGGAGAAAGGATGTGAGAATGCCTCGCCCCTCCCCGAATGTAGTGAGGAGGAGAATGGGGTCCCCTGCAGCGTGCAGGAAAGGAGGATGGGCAGCCTTGGGCAGGGAAGGCATGTTACTTTGAAGGACAAAGACTCCCCAGGCGCCTGTGACTAGAGGCCAGCACTGCTTTGGTGCGGTAGAAGGAAACTGATGGAGAAGGGCCTCGGAATGGGGTTACCTAACCTTGGGAGGGGGAGCGGAGGAAACCTAGAGTTGAAGGACAGACATAAGGACCCTGGAAGAGGGCAAACAAACGAGAACCCAGAGTTGCGAGGAAGCAAGGGGTGTCCCACAAGAGACCCAAAGTGAAACCATTATTTAACTGAGGGGCATGCACATCGCAGGGGGAAGCTGAGCAGGGCACTCTCCAGTCCTGCCACCTCCATACAGAGTCCACCAGCATCCCCTTGGGTTATGCTACTGTGTTCTGCCCCTCGCTTCCCGACCAGCATGGGAGCGCCCCCTCCTTCCCACCCCGACGCGCCTACCTCGGAACCACTCCTCGGACTGCAATGTGCTCTGCACCGCGTGGCCTTCGAGCTGCGCGCGGATCTCGCGCAGCGCCGACGTCACGTCGCACTTGAGGGCGTCGCGCGCTTCGGCCTGCGCCTGCGCCTGCGCGGCGCCAGAGCCCTGGATCTGGCCGAGCAGCTCGCCCACCTCCTCTTGGTGGTGACGCCGCAGGTAGCCGCACTCCTCCTGCAGCGCTTGCGCCTTCTTCTGCAGCTCGACGCGCGCCGCCTCGGCCTCCTGCGCAAAGCGCGCGAGTGCGCGCGCCGCCGCCTCAGCCTCTTCGCGCTGCCGGGCCTCGTCGTCTAGGCGCTGGCGCACGTGCGCGATGTCCTCGAGCAGGTGCTCCTGCTCCAGACGCAGCTGGCCGCGCGCCGCGCCCAGGCGCAGCACGGCGCCGCGCATCTCGCGCACCTCGCGCTCGTACAGCTCGCCCATGGCGGCGCGGCCAGCCTGCTGCTGCCGCAGCGCCGCCGCCTCGCCCTCCAGGCTGCGGTTGTGCGCCTCGAGCTGCCGCACCTTGTCGATGTAGCCGGCGAAGCGGTCGTTCAGCGCCTGCAGCTGCTCCTTCTCGCTGCGCGCTGCGGCGGCCGCCACCACGCAGCCCTCCGGTCCGTTGCTCAGAGTGTCTAGAGAGTCGGTGCTCGAGGCGGCTCCTGCGCCGCGGAAGCGTCCTGGTGAGGCGGAGACGGAGCTCACGGATGTCCGCGCCCACGAGTGGAAGCCGCTAGAAGAGCCGGCGGCGGAGCGCACTCCGCCCGCGCCGCCCTTGCGGGCCAGCGCGTAGTGAAGGCTGCCGCCTCCATGTAGCGGCGCGAACGGGGCGCCCAGCAGCGCGTCCGCGCCGCTGAAGCTCATCATGGCCGGAGCAGGTGCGGCTGCCGGCGGAGAGGGAGCCCGAGGCCAGGACGGGGCGGGTGGCACTGCGGCAGCACCGGGATGCCGGCCTTTTTATAGCAGCCCGGCCGGGTCCAGCCCCTCGGCAGTTGGGGGGGGGGAGCGGGGGAGGAGGGCCCCGCCCTCTCCGCCTCCTCCCCCTCGGCCCCGGGCCGGTCGGCTTCGCCGCAGTGACAGGGGCGGGGCAGGGGGACCAAGGAATGAAGGGGAACCGATGCCGCGTCTGAGGAGACCCCCGAGGTCGGGTCAGGGGGTAGAGGACTCCTGGAGTGGGCCAGCGGGGACCCCCGGGTGAGGGTTGGAAGACACTGCTACTGTGGTCAGAATAAGAGAAGGGGCCCAAAATGGGGAGTAGACAAGGAGACCTGGTGGAAATAGGGGCAGGGTGCCTTCGGGATGGGGCGATGGGAGACTCTAATTAGTAGGATGAGGGGACCCTGAATGAGATGGGGCACAAGATTTTCCTAATAGTTAGAGAGATCCTCAGGACAGGGGGTACATAGTGTCTGCAGCCGGCCCCCTGAATAGGGAAGGGAGCAAAGTAATCCTGAATGGAGTCGTGGTGGATGCTACAGAGGGTAAAGCTAGAAGACCCTTGTATGGAGGTACACTGTTCCCCTAATAGCTAGAGGGGCCACCAGGAGAGAGCTTAAGAAACTCTGCAGCCGGCTCCGGAACAGGGGAAGGGGACCTGGAGTTTGGAAGAGCAGCAAGGCTACCCTGAATTGGGGGTATGGGAGACACTGCAGAAGATGGAGAAAGGGAAGCCCAGATGGGGGGCACAGTGGTCTCCGCAGGATAGGAGGCGGGAGACCCTGCAGCTGGCCCCAGCAAGAAGGACCCTCAGTGAAGGGGGCAGAGGGTCCCCTGACTAGGCAGGGGGAACATAGGCTGTGTGAGGATCAGAGAACCCAGACTGGGGCACTGAAGGGGACTGGGCTGAAGTTGGGAGAGCTGGCCCCTGTGTGGGGTTGGGGGAAGTGACAGGTGTGGTAGAAGTCACTCAGGCCAGGGTCTGCGCACTGAGGTCAGCTCCACAGTTTACTGGGCAAATGACCTTGGACAAGTTGTGTCCCCCCACCCTCAGTTTTCCCATCTGTACAAAGAGGGGGCTTTGCCCTGGGACAAGCTGCAAACGTAGACCGTGTCTCCCCAGCGGCTTCTGTTTTGGGGGTCTCTGGCTGAAGTGAGGGAGGCGAACCCACATACTGTGCGTGGATATGGCAACCATTTCCCGACAACTAGGAAATCCGTCTCTCTCCCTCTCCCCTCCCATCCCCTCAGCTTCAACTTCTCATCTCTCCCCCACCCCCACAACAGACAAGTTGGTCCTGCGATAGGCATCCTTTCTCTCTCCCTGGGAAATGATGGGATGCTTTGGAAGTACCAAAGTCCCTCACCCCCATAAGCCATAATGGGGGATCAGGTAGAAACGGGGGTCCCTGGGATTTGGGGGGCTCCTGGTGTTATTTGGCCTTTTCTTGAGTTTAGCTCATGTCAGATGCTGTGGGAGTGGGGGCAGCGCTGCTGCTGGGGCTTCAGCACTGGGGACAGGGCCTTCTCCTTGCTGGGGAGAAAGGGGTTAACCTCTGCCTTTACCTTGAGGGGAGGGGAGGGGAAGGGAGGATGGTATGCAGTTTCCCCCTTGCCTGACCCCTGTGCTCTGCAGTTGGGGACCTAAGGAGGAGTGGGTGAATGATCAGGCAGAGTCACACCAGGAGCCAGGGACCCAGTCCCTCCACCTTCTGCTAGGGGTCCAGTCCCCTGTTTTCCATGAAGTTCTCCCACCTACACAATTGGGCTGTCCTGCTCCTCCACTGGGAGCTGAAAGGACCCCCCCCCCCCTCCCCACACACACACACAGATGCCAGATGCCGAAAGAGACCCTTGAGACTCTCTGGGGAGTCAGTGTAGACTCCCCTCCCAGATCTGAGCCTCCCTCAGGCAGTTATCTCAACCCCCACTACATTTCCAGTTTACACTGGCTTCCCTGTGGGGTCCCCAGGATAGGGACAGACAGACCCCCCCCCTCCCCCCAAGAAAAGACCTCTGCCAGTTCTTTTCTCTTTGCCCTCTGCCTCATTCCCAGACCCCTGGTTCTAAGCAGACCCTCAGAGTTGGGGAGTGATGGTGCTGTCCCTTTAACCACGTTTTACTGGAAGGAGAGTGCGCTGGGGAGGAGGCAGGAGGGGGAAGGGAGTTTCTGGTTGTGCATGGAGAGGCAGAACATGATGAAGCATTTTTCTCCCATTGAAAGATCCAGTCAGGCTCCAGTTTGCAGGGGGCAGAGAGGCTGGCTTGCAGTTGGTGCTGGGAGGATGGAGGTGAGTGTCTGGTCAGAGGCTTCTGAGAATGGCACTTGGGGGGCTTGAGCAGGGCCCCCATGCTTTCGCATGGCTCCCCATTTACTTGTCATTCTGCTTGGAATTTTGCCATTAGAGCCTTGTTCCTTTAGGTCTTTTCAGTCATCTGCATAATGCGGATACAGCCTCTGGGTGTGGGAAGGCTGACAAGCAGCTGACATCAAGGGGAAGTGGTGGGATGGGCAGAAGGAAATAGGGGAGGGGGCCAAGATGGATTCTGTCAAGGCGAGGGGGCCACAACCATGGGATTACAGCTGCCTATGGATTCCAAGCAAGAAGTCCTAAGCATGCGTCCTGTGGCTGGAAAAATGAAATGAGGGTGGGAGCCCTGAGTTCAGTTCCCCAAAGGGCCCTTCAGGCTCACCTCTGGGAAGCTATCCCTTGCCCCCTTTACCCCTACATTTAGTTAATTGTCCCCTTCATGGTCCCCAGTGCTAATTTGCTGCATCGCTCTTACCACTCTGTGTTGTCATTGGGTGAATGAATGAATGAATAGATGAATAAATTCCATCAATTCTCTAGCCAAACTTGTTGTCTAGAGGGGGCTAAAAATGATTCTTCCTTGAGTCCTTGAGTCTCAAATAATGTTCACCTCCCTCCCCTCACTTCTTACCATTTGGAAGTGAGTAGAACATCATATTCATTCATCCATCCATCACATGTTTACTGAGTACCTGCTATGTGATAGGCGCACACAAGACACTGAGGTTCCAGAACCCCATAAGCCTCTAAAATTGTCTCCTCAAGTCCTTCCCAAATCCCAGCCCAGCATTTCCCAAGGCACCTTCTTGAGGATGATGACAAGTGTTCCTCCAAAAAGGAGAGTAAAAGAGGAGTTTCATGGCTAAAGGAGTTCAACAGGGCTCTTGGAGCCTAGACTTGGTGATGAGCATTGGGAATCTCCCAGAGGTGAGTTGAGTGTGCTGAGTTCCCCAAATTTGTTTGATCACAAGCCCTTCTTACCCCTAACTGTCTCCCATGGTGGCCTGCACTAAAAGACCCACTCAGAATTGAGCTCTAGGCTCTGTTCTCCCTGAGCTGCCATGTGGGCTCCTGTGGACCCCAAGGTTAGTGCTCTTTAAGAACAGAGCTGAAGTGTGAAGGATAAAGCAGTACAGCTCTCTGTGAACATCAGCCAGGCATTGCTGTCACTCACTTCATTCATTCATTATCTATAGGCTTATACCTTGTAGTGAGCACTGGGGACTCTGAAGAATGAGACCCTAGTGAGGGGGAATCCCCACCTTGTGTACAGTAGAGAGAACTCAGCCACCACTTTTTCCTTGCTATGTCCTCAAACCTGGTTCGCTAGGCAAGGGTCATTGTCCCTGTTTAATAGATGAGTAAACTGAGGCCAGAGTGAGGAAGTGGGTTGCCTGAATTGACCCAGTGATAGAGCAGAGTTGAGTCCAGTGTTTCAAATCACCCAGGCCTAAGCTGGTGCTGGACACACGGGGTAGAAGCCCATTTCTCTGGCACAGTAAAGGGGCCCAGATGGCCTGAGGGTGGGGGAATGAGTGGCCCCCAGAGAGAGAACAGGCAGCTGGCTGGGGTTGGGGTCTGGCTTCCGACAGGTTGTCCAGCTGAGACCCCCTGTGACCTGTGACCCAGTATCAGCACATGGTTTATGTGGGGGCTCACTCCCAGCCAGGGCATCCTGCACCACTGTGTCACCTCTCTGGGGCACAGCACCTGGCCACTGTTGTGGGGTGCATTTGCTAAACTTCTCATTCTCTTCCTGCTTTATTTTTCTCCATACAACTTGACCTTTTCTAACATGGGAAATTCTGCTATCTTGTTTCCTCCCATAGCATGTAAGCTTCATGAAGGCAGGGATTTTTTGTCTGTTTTATTCACTGCTGATTTCCCGAACTCGTGGAACAATGGTTGGCATAGGGAACGTGCTTAACAAGTGGTTGTCAAATGGCTGGTTGAGCAGCCCAGCCCGAGAGGCCGGTGATCGCGCGGACATTTCAGCACCAGACATCCGGACAGTTCCCTGCCCGCTGGGCCCTTGGAGGAGGCCTTGGCAGGGCGTCTGCGAAACGTGGGCTTGAGAGTGTGGCCCCGCCCTCAGGCTTGGAGCCTCGCAGCCTGAGCTGTGTGGTCACCTTTGCTGGGGCTCAAGCCCTCCCCACTCCATTGCCTGCAAACTACCCCGACTCCTAGTATTACCTTGTCCTTCTTGAGTTCAGCAATTATTTCTATGAATTAATTATTCTATTAATTATTAATTATCTCATTTCTACCAAGCGCTGGGCCTTTCTCTTTCTCCTTGCCTCTCTTCCCCTTTAGTGTTCATAGTGCCCCACATTCTCTGTCTCTCCCTCGCCCCCTCCTTTCTCCACTTCTTTCTCCTTCCCCTCGGTGCCTTCTCTCTCTGTTACATCCCTCCTTCCTCTTTCCCCACAATTTTTCTGTCCTCCGTATCCCTTCTCTCCTCCCATCTTCCCCCTCCCCCTCCATAGAGGTGTCCTATTTCTGCACAGCTTGATTTATAGTAAAGAGGAGGCAGCCTCCCTCCCCTCCTCCCTTTATGAAGCAGACCGCACAAACTGAACTACGTGCGGTTTTGCATAAGCCTCCCCTTCCTAAGGTCCACCCACAGTCTTAACCACCAGGGGACCAGCCCGCAGCGATGAAAGCCTGCAGCAGGCCTGCCTGCCCGCCCACCCGTCTG